GTGATTTGAGGTGACTCTACCAGGTCATCAGTGCACGTGATGCAGGACTGACTGACAACCTGCTTGTGGGCGTGGCCAACCTCCATGGGGACAGACTGCACGGGACATGGGAGCTCCTCCCAGCAGATGCCGTCAGGAGTCACCCCGTTTCTCCCTCCTGCCACCGGCTGCGCTAGGTGCTGCGGATTCTGGGGTGCGAGTGACTGCAGATCCAGCTCCTGGTACCCACAGGGGGACCGCTTTCACCAGATGACTGGGCGAGAAGTTTTGGGGTTTGGGGTGTGTAACGTGGGTCATGGTACTAAGTGTGTTGTGTGAGTGTCCAGGCTATGAGGTAGAGCAGAGGAGGTTTCGTGCCCTGTGTGTCATGTGCTGTTGTCACGTGAAGGATGTAAGGTCTTGTATCAGCGTGTTGATACAGATACGCGGGGGTGTGGTGCTTGGAGAATACGAGATTTTGTGTCGTCCTTGCCTGTGTCCCAGGCCTGAGACACTCGACCATGCATGCGGGCCTTAACGCATGGCTTCCACCCCCCAGGCAGCCTCCTTGCCCGGAACACCAAGGCAGGGTGCCCCAGGTGGGATGTCTAACAGCACGGCCTGCACGTGTGGGGTGTGAGAGCCTGGTCTCTGCAGCACTGAGCTCCAAGTGAGCCGGGCTGGGACCCCTCCTCGCTGCACTGGGACCCCTTCTCTCTGCACTGGGACCCCTCCTCTCTGCACTGGGACCCCTCCTCGCTGCACTGGACCCGCCCCTCCTGCCTCTCTGTCAGGGCATCGCCCAGATGACTTTCTCTGTCACTCTCTGATGGCTGAGGGACATTGCGGCCCCCAGTGCTGTCTCGTACCACTCAGGGTGCTCAGGCCCCCAACCTGCTGCCTGAAAGGTCATGTGTTCTCAACCAAGTCCTGTCCCCTCTCATTTCCCAGCTACATCCCAGCCCTGGACCCTCTGTGATAATGTTGGTTCAAGGGACAGCGGACAGCAGAAGGCCAGTCCACACGTGCATGGCCCGCACCCTGAGCCAGAGCAGTCTATGCCCAAAGGTTCTCCAGATTAGGACGGTGAGGGGCAGGCAAGGAAGACATGTGAGGAGGCATCCAGCACTGCAGCTGTGTGTATGTCAGCGGTGCTCAGGACTGCCCACGGTTCTCCCAGAGCTGGGAGATGGGAGCTGTGATCTGTGCTGGGAGCTGAGATCTGGGTCCTGGGAGCTGTGATTTCTGTGCTGGGAGCTGTGATTTCTGTGCTGGGAGCTGAGATCTCGGCACTGGGAGCTGAGATCTCTGTGCTAGGAGCTGAGATCTGTGCTGGGAGCTGTGATTTCTGTGCTGGGATCTGAGATCTGTGTCCTGGGAGCTGAGATCTGGGTGCTGGGAGCTGAGATCTGGGTGCTGGGAGCTGAGATATCTGTGCTGGGAGCTGTGATCTCTGTGCTGGGAGCTGAGATCTGGGAGCTGGGATCTGAAAGTTGTGTGCAGTGTGATCCAGGAGCTCTTTTCTGACAGGCCTTCCAGGGCCCCCCTCCCAGCTCCTGAGATCCACAGCTCGCAGACGTGGCCCATGGACAGACCTTTTCTGTTACCAGAATTTAGGGAATAAACATGGAGAACTGACTTCTGATTTGTTCCCTTTCTTTCTCCCCTGGTCTGGACCCCCACCCACAGCTGCCCTGGGTCAAAGGCCCTGTGTCTGTGTGTTAGTGCTGGGTAACTGTGTTGCTATCTTCCTGTGTCTGTGTGTTGGCGCTGGGTAACTGTGTTGCTATCTTCCTGTGTCTGTGTGTTGGCGCTGGGTAACTGTGTTGCTATCTTCCTGTGTCTGCGTACTTGCATCAGAAAGACAGACGTAGGTAAGACAGCGTTTGCCATGTCGGCCATCTCATATGGACAGGTCAGTGGCAAGACATCATCACCACAGTCTGTTCCCAAGCCCCCCCCCACGGAATCCTTGTGCCCCTTGTGTCTGAGCCCGCCCCCCGCCCCCACCTGCTGCTACCAAAAAACCTGACTGCAGTGGAGTCCATCCTGACCAGTGGCCATAGAGGACAGACCCAAGGCTGCAGCGAAGTCCCCCCTGACCAGTGGCCATAGAGGACAGACCTGAGACTCCCTGCGAGAGCAGCTTGGCTAGTGGGTGCTGTTTTGGTACCAGGCCAGCACACTGACCGCTGACCCAGCAGGGCTCCCCCATCTAGCTGGTGACCCCTAACTAGTGAGCCTCTGTCTGTGCCCGGGCCTCCCCTGAGTACCTCCTCTGTGGCTGCTGTGCGGTGGCAAACAACCAGAGTGGGTAGAAGGCGGGCAGGGCCTCGGGGCAGGCGTCTGGTGGCACATTGGGGTTTGCACTCTCGGCTGCAGAGTGGAAGGGCAGTTAGTGATTGGAACCCAGCAGCCTTTGCACAGGAGAGCTGAGCCTCTGGAGACCAGCCGGGGGAGCTCTGAGCGTGTCTCACCCCACAGGGTCACTCTGTCCACTCGGGGGCAGTGTGTGCGGTCACTGTGCGCCCGCTGTCCCAGCCGTGCTGTCGTCGTCCCCCCCGTTCTAGACTGGATCCAGTTGGGGCTCCTTACCCGTCTTGTCTAGCTTCTCTCACGTGGTCAGGATTTGGCACCCAAGGCCAACTGTTTGTTTCTGGGGTGTTCTGTTGAAAAGTCAGGGTTCAGTGGGAGACTGTCTGAGACTCAGCTGCTTGTCCCCTCTCCCCTCGGCCTGGAGCTTTCACACCAAGGTTTCCTGTGGAACCGAGTCCCAGTGGCCAGCTTCTCCTTGGAGCGCTTACAGCTTGGGGGCTGCTGGTGCCCCTCGCAGACTTGAAGTAAATGACTGTGTGGTCATGGGCAGCCCAGGAAGGTGACCCTGTGGCCAGATGGCCCGGGGACGGAGCGAGATGCCTGCAGAGCTGTCTTCCAGGTCTCCCCAGCCCCCACCCCCCGCCAGTGTGACTCTGTCCCTCCCATAAGTAGGCCCCCTGGGGGGTCACAAGAGCCAGGCCTGCTGCCCACCCAGTCAGTGCCCACCCAGTGCCGTCCACATAGGGCCGGGTCGAGCTGCTCACCTGGTTCCCGAGGCTGCAAGCTTTCGATCAGCCGCCTCCTCTTCCTCCTGAGGAGTGTGGTGGGTTTGAACCACCGCCTTCTGGCTAGCAGGGGCCAGGGAGCTGCCTCTTTCTCAGGCCACGTCTGGGGAAGTACCACCAGCCTCAGGAAGGAAGTGAGGCCCCTGCTGCACACGGCCGTGAACATCCCCTGGGAACCCCTGGAAGCTCCCCCTCTCCATCTGTGAGCCCCACCCGCCTGGTCATGTCTTTAATGTTCACCGCTGCCTGGTCAACAGCGTTGGAGGGCACTGCCGTGACCCAGAGGCTCGTGTGCAGTGACCTTTGGGGAGGGCATTGCCAGGCCCGCCTTCCAGACGCTGGCACTGCAGCCTCCCCTGCCTGCCCTGGATGCAGGGCCATGGGGCTGGTTCCGAGGAGCAGCTGGTGCGTTCCAGCTGCTAACCTTCCTGTTAGTAGCCCGGATGCTTTAACCAAGGCTCCACCAGTGGACATCATGGGGAGACGGACACCACAGGTGGTGAACCCGTGGGGGGAATGGACACCACGGGGAGTCAGAGACCACAGGGGTGAACTCTTGGGGGGGTGGACACCATGGGGAGTCAGAGACCACAGGGGTGAGTTCGTGGGGGGAGTGGACACCATGGGGGGAAATGCCACCACAGAGGTGAACCCTTGGGGGGAGTGGACACCACGGGGAGTCAGAGACCACGGGGGTGAACTCATGGGGGGGTGGACATCACAGGGAGTCAGAGACCACAGGGGTGAGCCCGTGGGGGAAGTGGACACCATAGAGGGGAGAGGACACCTTGGGCGGTGAAGCCATGAGGGGGATGGACATTGTGGGGAGATGGACACCACAGGGGGTGATCCCATGGGGGAGTGGACATCTTGGGGGAGGAATGGGTATTCTCACAGGATGTGCATACCAGAGGGGTGGACACCACAGCAGAAGTCTTCCATGGGGTGTGGTACGTACCGTGGGAGATGGACATCAGTGCAGGAATGGAGGGGAGTGGATATTCACAGGATGTGCACTCCAAGGGGTGGGCAGAGGGTGGATGTGCCTGCAGACTCCGGGGTGGTTTATCAGTGGGTGAACCCCAGTGCACCCCGTGCTGCCCTCTTTGCTCCCTGAGGCTTCCTGCTTGTCTCCAGCTCTCAGGTTGTTTGCATGGTCATTTGACAGTCGGAACGTTTTAGCCCGTCGTTTTCCAAGTCCACAGCTGATTGTGACAGGAGGCCTTTAATGCCAGATGGTGAGGCCCACTCCCCAACACCCTCCAGTGTGAGTGTGCACTGCGTGGCCATTCGGTCACTCAGCGTCCACTCTGTCGTCGTGGAAGTGTGAGAATGGATGACGTGGTCACTCAGCATCCACTCTGTCATCTCGGGAGTGAGAACATGGGTGACGTGGTCACTTGGCATCCGCTTTTTTGTCTCAGGGCTGTGAACGTGGTTGATGTGGTCACTCAGTCACTCAGCATCCACTCTGTCATGTTTGGGGTGTGAATGTGGTTGATGTGGTCACTTGGTCTCTCAGCAGACACAGTGTCTTCTCCAGAGTATGTCAGGGCCGGGTTGGCCACCCTGGTCCTTTTAGGAGGTGACAGGTTGGGGGCCCTTGGTGTCTCTGCTGCGTGCGGCTTGTGGTCTTATGATCCCAGATCTCCTCCCGCTGTTCTGTGATGGAGCCAGGCTTCCCTGCCCGCAGGCCTTGCCGCCAGTGGTGGGCAGGGATGTCTTTCTGCAGAACCTCCACTGGAGATGACAGCACACGGTAACCGGGAGCGGGGGTGGGGAGATGCGGCTCTCGTGTTAGGAGCCAGCGAAGGGAAGCTGCCATCAAAGCGCCCAGCCTCCTGTCTCATCGCTGAGGGGCACTCGGGCCAGGGAGCGAGGAGTGCGGGTGCCTGACTCGGTGTCCTCCTCTCTCTGCAGGTGCACCCTCCGGTTTCCCAGCACCGCCATCAAGATCCAGTTCACATCACTGTACCACAAAGAGGAAGCCCCGGCGTCCCCCCTCCGGCCACTCTACCCCCAGATCTCCCCACTCAAGATCCACATTCCGGAGCCGGACCTCCGGACCATGGTCAGCCCCGTGCCCTCCCCGACTGGCACCATCAGGTATGTGGCAACCCGCCCCTCTCAGTCGTGCGTCAGCTGTGGGTGTCCCGGGCGCCCCACTGTCTTGGGCGGAGCTCGCTAAAGAAGCAAACCCTGTGACATATATAAAGAGAGATTTGCATCAAGGGAGTTTCACACTTGGCCATGGAGAGGTTTCTGTGTCCAGAGGCTGAGAAGTCCAAGGTCAGCAGCAGACAAGGCTGCCCAGGCTCCAGGACCCCTGGAGGGCGGGGGGGGGTAAATGAGCCCCTCAGTGCAGGCCACGCCCCCAGTGGAAAGCCCTCATCTGATTGGCTCTCCCAACAGATCCCATCGAGAGAATGATACATCAGACCTCAGCAAGGGAATGGCCACCCCACAGCTGCCAAACCAGAGAACCATAGGCGGCAAGGTGACCCCAGCTCATTTGTCACATCCTCCTCATTCTCGGGGTACCTGCACCCTGTACAGTGTGGTCCTCCCTGTCCCTGCCCGCTCCAAAGAATGGGTCCAACAGAACGTGGAAGTTAGTGAACAGGGTGATTCACCTTACGCACAAGGAAAGCCTCGTGGCGATAACTCCGGAAGTGCTGCAGCAGCACATTGGCAAGGGGCTGCCCAAGGGTACGCTGGTTCCGAAGCCGCTGTGGGTTCCGAAGCCGCTGTGGGTTCCGAAGCCGCTGTGGGGACGCGAGATGTCACACCAACAGTAGCTGGATCTTGGCAGAAAGCGGAGGATGCCGGAAGGTGTGGACCCGTCGTTCTCCAGACTGTGCTCCAGCATTCCACTGTGTGGCTCGTGGAAAACTGGGTGACGTCGGGAAGAGGAGTCCGGACCACTTAACTGCTGCGAAAACTGTGCGTAGGTCAGGAAGCAGTGTCTGAACAAGGCAAGGAATAACGCACGGTTTAATAGCAAGTGTGCATCGCATTGAAAGGGAGGAGTATTTCAAAGAGAAGGTGCTATCAGGATTGAAGGACGACGTCACCAGTGTGCCGTACGCAGATGACACCACCTTGCCTGTGGACAGGGAAGAGGGCTCGTACCGCCGACAAAGATCGGCGGCCACATCATCCGCATGGATCCTGCCTCAGCACCGTAAAACACAGTTCTCCGAGCTGGACCAGTCATCGGTCATTATGATGAGCAGAGAAAAGACTCTAGTGCTCAGAGATTTCCTCTGACTTGGGTCCACTCGCATCTGTGGAAGCAGCAGCCAGGACATCAGATGCTGGGTTCCCCTGTGCAGTCCTGCAAAGACTTGTTAAAGTGCTTCAAGCAGACGTCGCTTGTAGGATTAATCCTGAGCCAGGCCACGATATTTTCATTTACATCATTCGCGTGTGGAAGTTGGACAGTGGAAGTATGAAGCTGAAGAAGCGCTTGGTGCCTTTGAGTTGTGGTGTGTGGTGCGGGCAGAGTACTGGAAGGAGTGCAGTTAGTGTTCTCCGGAAGCCAGGATAGTGAGACTTCACCCCAGGACGCCTCATCAGGCCCTGGAAAGGGCCATTGTGCTTGGTAGAGGGTCAGTCAGAAATAGGAAGCCCTCCGAGAGATGGCCACTTTGTCTCGTCGGCCCCGGCACAGCAGAGGCCTGAGCACAGTGCAGTTCCCGGCAGGGCGTGCTGGGGTCCCCGGGGCAGGCTGGAAGCCAGGCCGGCTCAGGAGAGCATGTGGGTGGAAACTTTGAAGGGACCTGATACTTCAGTAAACCCGCTGGTGAGTTTTCTTTCTAAAGCGAAGCAGCTCTCCGTAATCCAGCACTTTTCCCTGTTTGAAATCTTGCCTGTTAGAACCTTTTGAGGTAAACACAGCCGTGACCGCCCTCCCCGCGGCAGGGAAGTGCTTCGACTGCTGTTTGCCAGCATCTGGCCATCTGTTCCAGGCTTCACGTGGGAATCCTCGGAGATGTGTTGAAAGCGCACCTGGTGTTTGAAGGAAGGCGCGCGTCCAGGTCCCTCCTCATATCCAGTGTCATAGCATCATGAGAGACCTTGAAAGGAAGCTGTCCCGGGGTCCGCTCGGACTCCTGGTGACTCCCGGTTAGCCTCTGTCCAGCCTCCACGCTCTGAGTCTTTATCAGAGGGGGCTGTCCACCCTCCCACAGGATGGCTGGTGAGTTTGAACTGCTGACCTTGGGGTTGGCAGCCTGATGTACACAGCAGGCCACCACAACACCACATCAAAGAAGAGCCTTGAGGGAAGCTTTCAGGATGCATAGCGTCCATCTGACCAGAGGCTAATTGAGCTTGAACTCAAAACAGTCGTCCGTTGAGTTGGAACCGACCTGTAGCTGACCCTCCAGCGGGGTTAACTCAAAGGTTGCAGACCGCATGGGAGGACATTGCTCGTCTTTCTTCCTTGGAGCAGCTGCTGGACCGGAACTTCCTGCCTGTGGCTCGGCAGAACCCCTCCTTACCGTTAGGGCCCCCAGAGCTCTCTAGATATGTACGTTGTTGTTCCCTTGAGACGCATAACGACCCTGTGTACAACGCTCTGAACCCTGCGCTATCCTCAGCCAGGACATTGTCTGACACACCTACCCTCATTATCCCAGTCACTGAGTCAGTCCATCTCATTGAGGGTCTTCCTCTCCTGCACTGTCCCTCCACCTGCCCAAGCAGAATGTCCCTCTCCAAGGACATGCCCAGAGTATGTCAGGCGGAACTTCAGAATCCTTGACTCCAAAGAGCAACCTGGTTTCACCCTCTCCAGGATGAACCTGTTTGTTCTCTTGGCAGTCCATGGTCAAATTCATTACTCTTTCCCAGCCGCACAGCTCAAAGGCATCAATGCTTCTGCCATCATCACTAATCATTGTCCAGCTCTCTGATGCAGAGTACCTAATTGCAAAGACCATGGCCTGGATCAGGCTCAGAAGATTAGAAAGGGCAGTGAAAGCTTGCATTGGTGGGAGACGACCTCGTAGAAGAGACGTGAGGGTGCGAGCCGGGAGGGACGCACAACTAGAAGAACGGCTTCCATGCCCCGGGATGGGACAGGCGGAGACGGGCTTGCTGTGTATTCTGAACAACAAATAAAGTTACAGAGAGAGAGCGCGCGCGCACGCGCTAGCAACTGACATAAAGTCTTCTAATATTAAAAAACTTTTAATAATGGCCCTTAAACACCACCCCCTGCAGCTGAGTGCCGGCCGACACCACCCCCTGCAGCCGACTGCCGGCCGGCTCCGGTGACCCCATAGGACAGTGGACCCGCCCACACGGTCTCTCAGGCGGGAATCTTCATGGACACAGACGGCTGCCTGTCTTTGCCAGCGTGGCTGGTGGATTTGAATACTTACGGTCGCAGCATCCAAAGAAGATGGAAGGAATGCAGAATGTCACTGTCCCGGGAAGAACTGGTCCATGCAAGACAGCTGCCTGACCGCCACCTGGAAGAGGCTCCTGCTTGTGCCTCCTCAAAAAAAGGGACCCGCGGGAATGCAGACGCTGTCGGACAGTTACCAGTAACACACACAGTAACATCTTCTTGAAGATTATTCTAAAATGGCTGGAGCAGTCTCGACGGGGACCTGCCAGCAGTTCCAGCTGAGTTCGGAAGAGGCCATGACGGGAGGGATGTCAGTGCTGGGGTCACACAGGTCCTGGCTGAAGCGGAGCATACAGGACGGCGTTTGCCTGTGTTGTCCTCACTCTGTCAGGGTTTGACTGTGTGGATCCCACGAAATCCTGGATGTGTTGACCAGGAGAATCCAGTACACGTCACTGCTCATGTGAAACCTGTAATAAACGAAGCAGCAGGATCGCGAACAAAACAAGGAATACTCCATGGTTTAAAATCATTTAAAAAATGAGAGTCGTGTCCTTCCCCCTTACCTGTTCAGTCTGTACACCGAGCAAAGAAGTCAAGAAGCAGGACTGTAAGAACAATGTGGCAGGGAGCTCTGGTGGCCTAGTGGCAAGAAGCTGCTCTGCAATCCCAGAGGCACACGGTTCAAATCCACCAGATGCTCTGCTGGAGGAGAGGCAATCTCCTCCTGTGCCAGTCAAATCCGACTTGGGGGAAAAATAAAAGCGAACAATGTTCATTGCAACTGGAGGAAGACGCATCCACAGCCTACACTGTGTAGATGACACAGCCTTGAAGCACTTCCTGAAGAAGACTACGGCCTGCACCTCTGCACGGCAAAAACCCAGATCCTCACAACGACCACAGCAGCGGCGTGGCAGATGCAGGAAGGCAGCAGTGCGGAGTTCTGTGTGTTCGGGTCCACAGCAGCATCCGTGGCAGCACCAGTGAAGAAATCAAAAGATAAGTTGTTCTGGCCAAATCGTCAGTCGGGGACCTTTGTAAAGTACTGAAGAACAAAGCTGTGCCTGAGCCAGGCTGGAGTGTTCTCAGGGGCTGTTTGTGAAAGTTGAACAAAGATTAAGGAAGATCAAGAGGATTGACGGCGTTATTGAACACACTGTCGAGTGCCGGAAGAACAGCCCGCTCTCTTAGAAGCTGTGTGGCCAGGACGCCCTGCCGAGGAAGGATGGGGGGGCTTCGTCTCCTGTACCGTGAGCAGATTGTAGGGGGCTGATCCTTAGAAGACTTGGTACTGGGGCGGGTACAGGGTTAGGAAGAGAAGACCTTCAACAGGTGACACCGTGGCTGCAGCAGTGTCTTGAACCCCAGTCTGTTGTATACAGGGTCGCTGTGAGTTGGATTCACCGAGACACCCCTGACAACAGTAGCCCCACAGGAGAAAGATGGGTAGGCTTCTCCCAAGACCTGCAGCCTCTGAGATCTGGGGGAGGGCTGCACCGAGCCCCAGCGGACTCCAGGCCAGGAGGTTTTGGTGGTCTATTAAGTGGACATGACGAGAAACTGAAATATGATGAGAATTGCCAGAACGAGGCAGACATGGAGTGTGTGTTCTTGGAAGAACGGCACCCACAGACCTGCTCAACTTAGGGGGTCGCAAACCTTCAACTTGTCAAAAAAAGAAAACAAAGAGCTTCACAGCACGCACAACACAGCGAGCGAAGCAAAGTGGGCCGCGTTACGCAGAATTCAGATTGAGCATCCGCAAAGAGGCCCCTGCTGTGGCGACCCCTCCCAGGGCTGTGTTCACATCTGTGCCGGGCTGGCTGGCAGCCCTCTCCCTCCGTGGCTTCCCAGGGCTCAGCACAGATGAACTGTGTTTTATTTAACCAGTTTGCTGTTAAGGGACACGTGGGTGGCTCCTGCTGGCCGCTCCCATCAAACCCACACTGCTGTCGAGTTGGAACCGTAGCTGGCCTCCTGCGGGCTTTTGAAGGCTGCATCCTTCACCCCCAGCGCCGCTGGCTCCCCCCACAGGCAGTGCTCAGAGCTGCCTGGTGTTAACCAGAAGTCCAGCAGTTTGAACCCACCAGTAGCTCCGCGGGCGAATGATGAGGCCGGCTCCTCTCACGAAGGTTGTGAGATGGGAAAGTTGAGGGCTGCTCTCTGTCGTGCAGGCCGCCCTGGCAGAGTCCACCGACGGGGCGCCTGCCTGACCAGTTAGTGCACACAGCGCACTGACCCTTCGTGGCAGGAACCGAGTCCCGTTGAGGACACATCAGTGCCTCTGAAACGTCGACGTGTTACTACCCTGAGGTGATGGCAGTGTCATCTGTGCTGAGTGAGACTCTGCTCTTGGGGTCAGGAGCCCCAGGTGTCTCAGGACAGCCTTAGGAATGGACACTAGTGATGCCGCTTAGCTGCTAACTGGACACTTCAGACCCCCCAGCTGCTGGAGGAGGAAGGGGCTTGATGCAGCACCCCACCCTGCTGTGAGGGGACCCGAGGGGAAGGGGCTGGAAGGTGGTGACTTTGTTTGAATTGACTGCTCTGCTGGGGTCCCCTGAGGCAGAGACACCACATCCCCATTTTACAGATAAGCAAACCGAGGCTCCAAGAAAACATGCCTCATGTTCGATGTCAGCCGGGTGCCGGGGAGCAGTGGTTCATATCCATTCATCTGAGGGCTCTAGAGGTATCGAGCGCTTTGGAGAACTCGAAAAAGCAGCCGCTGGCCCTCACTGTCCCCCCACCTCCCCCAGACTCCTAATTATCATAGCCATAGCCCCCTAACCACGTCAGCCCCCAGACCCCCGACCACCACGGCCCCAGGCTGCCCTCATGTCCCCACACCTGTGCCCTGGGGTCCCTTCAGGCCCGCTCCGGTGGGGTCCTGGTATGGGTGCAGGGTGAGCTGCTTGTGAGTGGTGCCCTGCTGCACACGCAGGAAAGGCCTGGCGTTCGGCTTCTGTAAAGATTGCTGTTTGGGTGCCCTCAAGTCATGAAACACGGCCCACGGCCTGTGCCACCCTCACGGTCACTGCTGTCACAGCCTCAGGTCCCTCCAGGCGCCCGCCAGTGGCCATCCCCAGAGAGGACAGCACAGGGCCAGGCCCTGGTGGAATGCATCTGCGGCTCAGAAAGCCTGATATGAGCCAGAGTGGGTTCTGACCAGTGACCCTCGTTGAGCCTGCAAAGCCCTGGCTCGCCTGGGCCGTGGGGCGACCTGGACTGTGCCCGCACTGCCACCTGGCGGCCAGCGAGTGCAGGACAGCACCATGGTCGGGTGGGGCAGAGCCTGCTGGGGCGAGGCCTCGGGAACAGCAGTCGTAGGGACGCAGGTTGCCAGGACTTTCTTCCACAGCACCACTGGGTAGACTAGGGCTGTTCAGTTAGCTGTGTGTGCTCACCGGTGGTGCCTGGGGCTCGGCTGACCACTGGGAGCCCAGTGCCCTGGACGACAGTATCCCCGGGACTCTCACAGGTGAGTGTCCTGTCAGCACCCACTCCCAGTCTCTTGGGTTCACGTGGCATCTGTCTTCTTTCTCCACAGTGTCCCCAACTCCTGTCCAGCCAGTCCACGCGGGGCGGGCTCCTCCTCCTACCGTTTCGTCCAGAACGTGACCTCGGACCTGCAGCTGGCAGCAGAATTCGCGGCCAAGGCTGCGTCAGAGCAGCAGGCCGATGCCTCTGGAGGGGACAGCCCAAAGGTCAGAGGGCACCCCACTGCACACATGAGCACCACAGATCCGAAACACCCCCAGGGCCAGCCTCACAGTACAGGCCACAGCCCAAGAGCACGGGCGTCCAGGTTCCCACCCCAGAGGGCTGGCTCGGGGGTGGGGGGTCTGCCTAATCTATTTCAGCTTCTAGTAGCTTCCAGCCCTCCCGCATCCACTGTCCCTCCAGCCTGTGTATCTGTGTCTCCAGCTCCATTTATAACTCACAGTGGCCAAGATAGGGCGCACCTCACTCAGGGATCAGCCGAGTCACACTGCAGGGGCCTCTGTTTCTGAGCAGGCCACATTGACAGGTACCCCAAACCGCCTGCCTCCCAGTGGCCTCCCAGACGGGAGCAGGCCCTGGGTTTTCCGAGATGGCTGGGGAGGACTGAGGGACACACCAATGTCCCGTCCTTTCTGTGTTTGTCATGTGCTTGGGTCACTTGATGTTGTGCCATCAGCATGTGTCCCTGTTCCCCGTGCTGAGCAGCGCCCCGCCCTCCTGAAGGGTGCAGGCCCTGTGCCTCCCCGCTCAACCCTGTGCACAGGTCAGGAGAAGAGGTGAGGGGTCTTGGGAAGGCCTCTCTCTCCTTCCTACAGGGCAGGCCTGGTGCCTGGAGTGTGACGTCCCCTACTGCTGTAGAGGGTGCTGTGGGGACGTGGGGACCTGGCCGTAGAGGATGCTGGGAGCTGGCCGTAGAGGGTCCTGTGGGGATGCGGGGACCTGGTCATAGAGGGTGCTGTGGGTTTGCCGAGGCCTGACCATAGAGGATGCTGTGGGGACACGGGGTCCTGACCGTAGAGGACGGCTGTGGGGACACAGTAATCTGGTCATAGAGGGCTCTTTGGGGACACAGGGACCTGGCCGTAGAGGACATTTGTGGGGGCACCGTGGAGATGTGGGGGCCTGACTCCCAGCTCCTGGGGAGACTTGGCTGCACCCTAGTCCGTGGGGTGACCGTGTGCTCTTTGTCCAGGACGAGTCGAAGCCCCCGTACTCATACGCCCAGCTCATCGTCCAGGCCATCTCCTCGGCGCAGGACAGACAGCTGACGCTAAGCGGAATCTACGCGCACATCACCAAGCATTACCCCTACTACCGCACTGCCGACAAAGGCTGGCAGGTGAGGCGACGCCGAGCCCTGAGCGTGCCACGCTTCTCGTGGTCTCTGTACCGTCGAGATGGAACCGACCCATAGCTGACCCTCCAGCAGGTTTTCACAGACAGTTAATCCATGGGAGGAGATGGTCCTGCAGAGCAGCTATTGGATTCGAACTGTGTGCCTTCAGGATTGCAGCTTCTTACCACTAGCCCAAGAGTTCCCCAGCTAGCCCTGTGCCCTGTGGTGGTGGCAGCGTGACCCTGAGGACCACAGGGCCACCGTCCACGCCTGCAAGAGCAGGTCTGCCCTCGTCCCGAGGGGCTCCCAGACCACAGCGTGGCTCTCCCTTTGACCTCTGCAAACAGCAACACGCCTGTGCTGGATTCTTTTAAAAAAGAAAAACACAACGATTCAGAGTTTTTCATTTCGGCAGGTCGGTAGTAGTCTTGAAGTTGGGCTGCGACTCCCGACACTCCATTGCAGGCTGCTGCGCCCTCGTCAGCAGAGGAGCTGCCCCCTAAGCTGCTGACGGATCCTTTGAGTTCAGTTGGCAGTTTGAGCCCAGGAAGTGCATCTTCTCTTTTTTTTTAAGCTCTCAGGGTTTAAGGCAGCCATTCTTTACTAAGTAAACGGAACTGTTGTTGCAGTTCCAATCCACAGGCTGCTCCAAGAAAAAAATGATGGGCCGTCTCACCTCCCGTGACTTACAGCATCTGAAAACCTGGGCATTTTCTGACTTGGGAGCGATGACTTGAGTTGCAGAGCTGTTTGGTTTAAAGATGACCTTCGTCTAAAGCCTGAGATCTCAGGGCAGCAGTTTCAGGGCTTCATCCAATCTCCCTGCTCCAGAGCCCAGATTCCCTGAGAATTTTTATTTCTGTTCCACACATTCTTCCCTTTTGGTGTGGCGTCTTTTCTAGTTCTGTGCTGGACTTTGAGAGGAAATCAGAGTGTGCTGTGCACATTTCTAGTCTGAGTGGTGCCTCGGCCTGTGTGACGTAGTTTCCCTTAGATCTGGTGCTTTTTAAGTCTGTGGCGTGTCCTGGAGGACAGCGTAGAGGAGGGGGATGGGGAGCAGGAAGGGGAAGGGGTGGTTTGCTGGTCGCCAGGTCACATGCACCTCTACTTCCTTGCAGAATTCCATCCGACACAACCTCTCTCTGAACCGCTACTTCATCAAAGTCCCTCGCTCCCAGGAGGAGCCCGGGAAGGGTTCCTTTTGGCGGATAGACCCCGCCTCTGAAGCCAAACTCGTGGAGCAGGCCTTTCGGAAACGGAGGCAGAGGGGCGTCTCCTGCTTCCGGACCCCCTTTGGGCCCCTGTCGTCCAGGTGAGCCAGCCCGGCATCCGCCAGGTCCACCAGCAAGGCTGGGAGCCCCGAGCCAGGGTCTGTGGTGCTTGCATTCGGCATGCATGCCACAGACAGGGCCTCCACCCCGTCGACGGCTGGGCGACGAGTTCAAGCTGAGCCAGGCGCCCCTCTGCTCGGTGCCAGGCAGCAGGCCGAGCGGAGGAGCCAGCGTGGTGCTGCCACAGGCTAATGAGTGGTCAGCAGGGCGTGACCACAACGACTCCAGAGCCAGGCGCCCTGGAGGGCAAGAGGAGACACAGCAGGGGCAGGGACAGATGAGGGCAGCGGTGCTCGGCCGGCCCCCAGGCCCTCTGGGCACCCTGTGGGCAGGCTCGCTCTGGGGAGGGTCTTTCACACGCAGCTGCTGGTCAAAGCGGAGGCCGGGCCGGGCCGGGCCAGCGTCCCTGCGACTGGCCACCTTTAAGAAATGCCTGCAGGGTTGCCGGCCGCCCCGTCACGTCTCCGATGTGGCAGGGGAGGGGCTGCAGAGGGGCGTCTACCTGTTGTAAGCCTGACACCACTGTCTTCATTCCAGGAGCGCCCCCGCCTCGCCCACCCACCCGGGGCTCATGTCTCCGCGCTCCAGTGGCCTGCAGACCCCAGAGTGCCTGTCCCGGGAAGGCTCGCCCGTTCCTCATGACCCCGACTTCAGCTCCAAGCTGGCCTCGGTGCCCGAGTACCGGTATTCGCAGAGTGCACCTGGTGAGGACCACCCCGCCCTGGTACCACTGCGAGCTCGGGGTTCGGGGCTCAGGGCTCGGGGCTCGGTCTCACACGCCCTCTTGTGTCCAGGCTCGCCGGTCAGTGCCCAGCCAGTCATCATGACAGTGCCTCCCCGGCCATCCAGCCTCGTGGCCAAGCCCGTGGCCTACATGCCAGCCTCCCTCGTGGCCTCCCAGCAGCCCTCAGGCCACGCCATCCATGTGGTACAGCCGGCACCCACTGTCACCATGGTCAGAGTGGTCCCCACACCCGCCAGCTCCGCCAATGGCTACATCCTGGCCAGCCAGGGCGTGGCCAGCAGCACGCACGACACCCCAGGCACGGCTGTGCTGGATCTGGGCAGCGAGGCCAGAGGTGATGCTGGGGGCTGGAGTCGGGTGGGGTTCTTGAGGCTCCAGGGTTGTGGGGCACAGGCCTAGAGGAGCAAGATCTGGGGGGTAGCCGTCATGTTGCCACCTTCTGTTGTCCTCCCCTGTCCTGGAGCCACCCCAGGCCACACTGAGGGGAGCGGTGACGTGGGATGTCCAGAGGATAGAGGGCGTCTTGAAGGGGGACCTCTCTGAGCCCCAAGAGGAGCCAGTGGGGACACTTCACACAGAATGTGACCATCTGGGCCTGTGAGCATACGGGACAGCTGCTGCAGGCGGCCAGGTGGGCCCCGGTCACCCTGCTTGGCTCTGTGTTTTACCATCAAGACACAGAACGTGTTGGTGACAGTCCCCTCAAATGTGAGGGTTTTCTAAAGTCCAGGTTGTTGCAGGTGTTTTCTGAAGGCTGTTGCGCCTCTGAAAACGTCAGGAGTCTCGTCAGTAACTCTGAGCACCCCCTGGGAGCCCCGCACCCCCTTCCTGGCTGGCAGGTGGGACTGACAGCAGGTCTCACATGCCTCCTATCCCCCAGGCCTGGAGGAGAAGCCCACTATCGCCTTTGCCACTATCCCTGCTGCCAGCCGAGTCATCCAGACGGTGGCTAGCCAGATGGCCCCAGGCGTCTCCGGACACACGGTCACCATCCTGCAGCCAGCCACGCCGGTGACCCTTGGTCAGCACCACCTGCCGGTACGAGCCATCACACAGAATGGGAAGCACACCGCCCCCCCCAGTGGCCTGGCCAGCAGCGCTTACGGTGAGGCCTGTGGGATGGGCAGACGGAGAGCTGGGCAGACAGGAGGACAGCTGGGATGGGCCTGTGGGGACAGGGCGGAGAGGTGTGCGGGAGCCAAGGGAGGTGTATGGGGTTCAGAAGAGGCACCTGGGATTGCAGGAGAAGGGGATTGGTACAGGGTGGGGTGGACAGGATGGTGACTAAGGGCGGAGGAGAGGATGGGGAGTCCTGGGGACCCGGGGAGGGGCGTGCAGCTGAGAGAGGCTTCAAGTGCCCCAGTGTCTGCTGGGTGGGAGGCCCTCGCCTGGGGTAGCCTCACCAGCCCTGCTCATAGCCCCTCTCTCCCCACAGCCCTCACGAGCCCCCTCCAGCTCCTTGCCACCCAGGCCAGCTCATCCACTCCTGTGGTGGTCACCCGCGTATGTGAGGTGGGGCCCGAGGAGCCGCCACCTCCTGTGATGGCCACAGCTAGCACCCCCACTGCCACCACACCCACAGCTGCGCCCTCCCCAAGCGGGGAGCCTGAGGTGAAGCGGTCCCGCGTGGACGAGCCCAGCGGAGCAGCGGCCATGCAGACAGGCGTGATCACCACCGCCGGCCCTGGGGGCTCGAGCTCTGGAGAGTGACGGCGTGCGCCGTGGATATGGAGCTGGACGCCGGCCACTGCCCTCCGGACACACGTGGGCAGTGCAGCCCAGAGCCGCGGAGATGCAGAGCGGACGGCCTCATCCACTCTGCCCTCCCCGGGGTTGGGGTCGCACAGACATAAACACAGACAACGAGTGCGCTCTGGACATTGTTTTCTTCCCTTCACACCTTCTCCCCAGCTGGAGCCCAGCGTCCACGCAGCACCCCAGCAGACCTGCCCACAGGAACGGGCGCCTTGCCTCTCCGCTTTGGGGGCACCTTGCCGGGAAGACCACCGCACTGGTGGAGGGACTCAGCGAACACAGAGCCAAGGCTGCACACTGAGCGCTGAGATGCCCAGCGTCCTGCTGCCCCGTTCTGGGCTGCCAAGGGGCTGCCAGCACTAACCTGGGGTCAAGTATGGCTCCAGGATCCACACAGGCCTGGCTTGGTGTCAGCTTGGATGTTGGGGCGTGCACGAGTCCACGCATGCCAAGGGGGGGCACCCCCAGGCTCCTCTGCCGCCCCGTCCCCCAGGGACCCGCCCTATTCTGAACCACAAGGCAGACAGATGAACCCAGGCTGGGAGTCTTGGCTCCACCTGCATGTTGAAGTCGGGGCTGCTGCCCAGTAGAAGCTGAGGCGTTGACGGGTCACAGCTGGTTCAGCGTTGAAGCAGAGGCCTTCATGGGCCCACCACCTGCATTCACACTGCTCCCTCCGGCCCTGGACAGCTGTTGAGGGCCAGCATCTCCCTTTTGGGGCGTGGATCAGCCAATCAGTGGAAAGAAACTACCTCCAGAGCCGCCCCCTGGAGCCTGCAGTCCTCTGGGCGTGGAGAGGCCCGCCTCCTGTCCCACGACCATCACGGCTGGCCGCCGGGACGTGGAACCGGTGTGAGATAAGACCAGGGTCTCAGGAGGGGTCACAGCAGAGGCATCTGCGCACGTTGACCAGCCTGCCAGGCCTGTTGGCATTGCTGCTGTGGCGATGACAACTCTGACCGGGGCTTGTCCTGGTGGGAGCTGACCTGGGACAGTGGCCACAGGCACTAGTCTTCCCAGATGGAGCAGAGGGGTGAGGCCCTGCTCAGGGTTCAGGGCTCGGGTGGCTGATGGTGGGGCAGGCTTTTCTGTGGCCCTGACCTTGGAAGGAAGGTGGCCGTGTGGGTCACACCCAAGAGGCCGGGGAGGGGCAAGCTGGCGTCACCCTGGTTCCCATGGTCATGAGGGATTGCTCAGTACGTCAGTCTGTGTCTCCCACCCCGTGAGCTGACAGTGCCCGGGGCCTCTGCCTGACCTGACCCACGGAGAGCGGCTTCTGTCATGCTGAGGGATCGTCTCGAGCTTGCTGCCACCAAGAAGGACAGCGCCCGGGGGCATGCTGACCACCTGCGGAGGGCCCGAGGTGGGGAGAGGGCTTCCGTGGAGTCAGCTCAGAGCCCCTCACCTGCCCAGGAACCTCTGGCCTGAAGGCCCTGGGAGTGCCCATGCCCACACGGGACCTAGTCCAGCCCCGGGGCCTCCCTGACCCCAAAACCAAGCCCTGGGTGGCTGCGAGGGCCGAGGGGCTGGTGGAAGCTGAGTCAGGGCGGCGCATGCTGCAGTGAGCAGTGCTGGGCAGCGTCCTCTCTGGACTGGGCAGCAGGTGGCCTGGTGGTGCCTCTGCCCCAGCGCTAGTGTCTGCCTCGCTTCCAGCAGTGTCCCCTGAGTGGCCAACATCACCTTTGACTGAGACAGAGCCTGAGACCAAGGGGGACAGAGGGCAACAGGGCAGCCTGGGCCTTGCTGTCTGTCATGTGCTAACCCTCCCCTCTGACTTCTAAGGTGGAGCCAGGAGCATTCAGGGTCCCCCCCCCAAACTCTGGCCCTTGTGTCCACCCCTCAGGACCGGTCCTCTCACACTGCGACCTTGCTGGGTGGGCTGCACCTGTGAGACCCAAAGCTGCTGCAGGAGCGGAAGTGGGTAGTGTGGAGAGTGGCTGGTACGTGAGGGCAGAGGTCATGAGGAAGATGCTGAGAGGTGGGAGGGGCCGTGACAGGGAGGAAGGCAGCATGCAGGGGTGGGGGAAGGTGAGGTGTCCACGCAGCTCCCCGCCCTCTTCAAGAGGCCTCCCTGGGGTCCTGATGGAGGTGGGTTCTGTGGGGTCTCCACAAAGAGTTGAGTTCTGGTGTGCAGTCCCCTCGAGGCCCCTGGCTGACTGTGTCTAGGAGGGGCTTACTCCTGTTAAAGTCTCGGGGCTACTCTGGGCATCGTGCTATGTGGTGGCTTAGATCAGAGCATCCCAGCACTGATTTCCCCGCCACCCCCGGGACCACCGCACCCTCAGGACTGCTCCCTGGCTGAGGCTGCTGGGGACAGGGACAGGGCTCACCGGGCAGTTGGTGTTCTGCGGACAGCATGCCACACTGCCCCAGGCTGAGGGCCAACCCCTGGGAACCACCTCCTATCCTTGGGGCTGGAGGCTCCTACACAACGGGACTGGCAGAACCATCTGACCAGGCGCTTGTGGCCTGTGTCACAGATGGTGGCCAGGAGGCCTCGGCCACACTCACCCTAGTGGCTGGGCACAGGTGGCAGCCAGCAGTCTTGAGGGGCTGGGTGGGGGCATTGTCTCCTCTCATCAGGCTGCGGCGGAACTGGCTCTGTCCTCTGTGCCCTGTCCATGCCGTGCCCTGCCCACCCTGCCCAGTGCCCTTACTTGGTCCTCAGCAAGGCTGGGGCCTGTTGATGCTGCTGTCACCTCGCTTCCCCACCCAGAAATGCCAGGTTGGCTCAGGGCTCACAGCTGCCGACACGGTGGTCTGAACCCGCAGGTGACTTGTCTGGACACGCACTGGGGTCCTCCATAGGACACTCGGAGAGGCTCCATCCGTCCCGCTGCCCCTGTGCTGGGTCCCAGACCTCACCCTTCCAGCCTGTCCCTGAGGGCAGGAGCTCGGTCACAGGCTGTGGACACGACAGCTCACCTGCCATGGCACTTAGGTTGTGATCTAACTGGTCCCGATGTTTGGGTTTGGTTTCGTGGGTTTTTTCACTCTACGTTTTAGAACTAAAATGTCTTCGATTTGGCCTGCTTCTCCCCACCTCCCTTTCAGGAGAGATTTTTGAGCACCCACTGTCCCTTAATTTATGCGGCTAATTTCAGAACAAGGGGTGGGAGGAATGAGACCACCCCAGCCTTGGCCCCGGCAGGCCTGGCCTGCGAGGGCCCCCGCCACGGAGCAGCCCTGGTAATCCACGTGGCGGCGGCAGGAGCATGTGTGCCTCCAGGTGTCAGCTCCCGTTGTGGGTTTTCGCGCGAGCTGTCTGAAGTATTCCTCACAATCTGTCTCGATATCCGGGCTTCACACAGCGACATCCCACAGGGTGGAAGCTCTGGCCCTGGCCTGCTGGGCGGATACCGGGCCGCAGCGGTGGGACCCCGGGGCCAGGAGGCAGTGGCCAGGCAGCCGAGGCGGCCACGACTGGTTGGCCGGTTTTCATTTCAAATGGGATGTAATTCTTTAATAAGGAGCCATATTTTTTTTTTTAAGGAAAAGTTCGAGATCTGAATGTGGTTTCTAATGTACCAGACATGTTTTAAAGCTATAACAAAGTTTAAAATTTCTACTTTTTATTTTCCATTTAACTGTTCTGTTATCTATTAAATTGTCATACGTGGATGGGGAAGCTTTGTTTCTCCTCTTAGCATTTATTTCTATAACCAGAAATAAAATTATATATTAAAGACAGATAGCTGCAGGCTCTGTGTGGTCTTTTCAGGGTGCAGGGCTCCAGCAGGCCACTGGGGGGGTTCTCCTTGCTCCTCCTGCCCTGGAGAGGTGTGCACACATGAAGACAGGTGACATGGCCCGTGTGAGCCCTCTGAAGAATACGATGGCAGCACAGCAACATTCAGACCAGCCTGTGTCTGCCCCTCGGAGGAGACTGGCACGAGGGTGACCACAGTTGCGTGTCACCCACCAGGCAGCCTTCTTGTGGGCATCCGGCAGGCTGAGACCACTCAACCCTGGGTGCTGAGGGCAGCGGCACCGAGTCAGGCCACCTATGCTGGACCTGGCTCCGCTGTCCAGCCGCAGGACCTGGGCCTGCATCCCTTCACCACAGAACCCAGGGTGAGGATGGGCCTGCAGCCTCCACCCTCATCACAGAACACTGGTGGGGAGGGCAGGTGGATGGGCCTGGGAGCTCCCTCCTCTGCAAAAGGTCCATCCTCCCACAGGTTCACCCCTGACTGGCCTGGAGTCACCATCTCCTTGGTCTAAATGCACCACACCCCTCTGTTGGGGTTCACAGGCATCCCAGGGTACCCCTCTAGTGACCCCAGATGGGGGCGCATGCTAATCCTGACACCCCATGAGTGGAGTGGGTCAAATGCAAGCTGGCCAGTCCCCAGCAGGAGCCACAGGGCTAATTTGCCTTTTGTAACCACCCCCTCTGTTTCAGCTTTAATTTTTTTTAATTTATTTTTCATTTCAATGAACATCTACAGAGATTTTGGAATTCCATTCATTCATTGTTGCACCCTTCTCCCTGCCCACCCCTCAGCTTTAATTTTT